ATGTTTATTTGCTATAGAGTTGAAAAACAAATTCACTTTCAGTTTTAAATTGAATATGGAAATAAAGATTTAAATTGGCCAGAGCAGCTTAAAGTCACTAGAAAGTTACGGAACCTGTTGAACATTTCACAAAAGGACGGAAAATAAAAGATTTCACTAATGACAATTGAGAGCAATGTTTCAAGGAATTAAAAGGAACTTTCGTGATTATACCTCATAAGCAGGAAGTCTAATAAATTAATAATTTATGATAAAAATTAGAAATATGTAAATGCCTACTATGAAAATGTACAAATATGAGTATATTCCCAAAACATCTACAGCAGTTAAAAACAAAGTATCTCTCATTATATCAACACTAATGATTCTTGAAAACAAAGTTTACATTAAAAAAGAAAATTTCAGAGGCACAAGTGAAATATGATGTAATTTTGCCTTGCACAGTAAAGGACAATACATTTTAGAAATGGAAAGTCATTACAAAATTGTAAGCATGGAACAGCATGATCCAACTTGTATTTTAAAGGATTGATACTAATGTTGAGAAGGAGAACAGTTTATGGAAGGAGAACAAAAGAGAGTAATTAGTAAATTGTACAATGACCCAGCCAAGTGGTAATAGTGACTTGTTCCAGGGTGGTGGCAGTGGAGGTAAAGAGATGTACTTATATTATGAAGCGACTATGAAGGTAGAGCTGATAAAAGTTGTTCTTGAATGGACTGTGATAAGAGAGAAAAGGGGAGGAAAATAGTGAATAAATAGTGAACGTATTTTGGTCTAAGCAATGGAAATAACTGGAAGCCAGATCAAGAAAATGATCCCAGAAAAAATGAAATGGTCAAAATTATCAAATATCACTGATAGGTCAAGTAACATTGAATTTAGAAAAATAATTATCAATTGTGAGCTTGCTTTGGTGCACTGATGGGAAGAAAACTTATTTAGAATAGTTTAAACAGACAAAAGAAAGAAAATAACTTAGGGCAGTGAGTAGAGAAAATTGTATAAGTAGTTTTGTTGTTAAGACGCAAGAATAAAGGAGAGACTAGAGGGGAATATTAAGTCAAGGGATACTATAAAAGTAAATAAAATATTACATCACAGTTGTACCATGAGAAGAACAATCAAGAAAAGAGGAAAAAACTGATCAGGCAGAAGAGGAGGCAGAAATGCTGAAGCAGCAGAATTGAGAACATGAAAATGGTCTGAACTTAATTCACAAGGGCAGAATTTGCCATATCTGCCTGTGAAAGTCTGCGGACAGTTCACCCATAATCACAGAAAAAGTATCTGAGTGTAGAAGAAAGTAAGCAGATCTATGTGCTCCTGAGGGCATATGAAAACTTCCTTCTATTTATTTTCTCAATAAAACAAATCAAAAAAATTAGGTCATAAGCTAAGAGTGAGGAAGAGAGATGGGGTGTTAGGTATTCCTGTAAAGACGAGGTGTGAAAAAGTCATCTAGAAAAGTGGAACAGTGAAAAATCTAAGGGAAAATCTAAGGTAGGATTGTTAGTCAACACTGGGAATCCAATAAAGGTAAGTAATCAGGAATAAGAAATGAAATCACATGATCTAGTTGTGGTATTTTCTTCAGTCACATTAGGCAATTCAAGGGAGTTGTAGAGAAGGTAAAAAGTTGGATTAGGCCAGGGTGAACTGTTCCCGGGTCAGTATTAAAAAGGTTGAAAGAAGCAAAGGAGTTGTGTAATCAAAGGAGTGTTAAAAAATGAACTGTAAAAACTGAAGCTGAAGGAAAGGAAATTAGGGTATGCATGGGACGAAACAAGGAAACTTTGATAAGAATCATTTTATTAAGGTCCTAATAAACTGAAGCATTTTGGAGTTGTGCTCAAATCAAGTGAGAGCAGGATACTTAGAATGGAGTCAGATGAGATTTGTAGTAATGACATTACTGTAGGATATGAATGTAGGAGAGGGTTAGGGAGTTACTGATTTAGTGAGTTGGGAGAAAGCATATTAATGCAAAAGAAATCAAGAAACTCAAAGCCTAAGGTAGTGGAATAATCATCAAATTTTTATAAAGAATGATGATTGGTTGGACACGGTGGCTCACGCCTATAATCGCAGCACTTTGAGGGGCCAAGGTGAGAGGACTGCCTGAGTTCACAGGTTCAAGACCAGCCTGGGCAACCTGGCAAGAAACATCTCTACAATAAATAAATAAATGAATGGGTGTGAAGGAGGCGGAAGGATCACCTGAGCCCAGCAGGTTGAGGCTGTGGTGGCTATGAGCACACAACTACATTCCAGCCTGGGCAGAAGAGTGAGACTCTGACTCAAAAATAAAATAAAAAATAAAAGTACATTTCTCTCCAAATTAGAGAGCTCTGACTTTCCTTCTCAATAAAAATTTCTGAATAGGGGATCTAATATGCAGTTATAGTAAAAATGTTTCAACTCTGATTATTCTTTCATTTAACAATTTACTCCCTAAATCTTATCACCTTTACTTTCAGTCACTATATTCTATAAAGATCTAAAATATCCTTATGCATTTTAAGAAGCATTTTTGCTCTCTTTAAAGATACTGAAGCCTGATAAAGATTGTACTAAAACTGAAGACCAATTTCACTCATGAATACCGATGCAACAATATAATATTTGCAAACAGAATCCAAAAGTCCATTTAAAAGCAATGCATCATATCTAGTGAAATGTAATTTAAGAATACAAGAATGCTTTAATATTAGGTAGTATTTTCATAAAATTTATTATATTGTCTTAATATAACTGAATTCATGATTAATGCCACAAATGCTGGAAGGAAATTGGCATAATTAAACACATATTCAGATTTTTTTAAAAGTCATGAAAATAGTAGTGGATAATTCCATAATTGTGAATTTGTGAGTCTGCATATATAAACACAAGAGCTAAAATCATATTTGATGAAGCATTCCTACTAAAATCAGTAAAATAAAATGTTTTTGGTATCACCAGTATTTATTTATTTTTATTATTTATTTTCTTTTTTGAGTTGGAGTGTCACTCTGTCGCCCAGACTGGAGTGCAGTGACTGCTCTCAGCCTTCCAAGTAGCAGAACTACAGGCGCGCGGTACCACGCCCGGCTGATTTTTGATTTATTGTAAAGATGAGGTCTCGCCAAGTTGCCCAGGCAGGTCTCGAGCCCGCGGGCTCAGGCAATCCACTCACCTCAGCCTCCCAAAGGCGCGGGATTACAGGCTGCCCCCGAGCCCGGCTATCACTAGTATTTAAAACTGTACTGGCAATATTAGCTATTGGGTCCGAGATTTAATTTAATACTATTTACAAGCTAATATGTAAGTCTGTTACTGTTTTATGGGTGCTGTGATAAGAGACACAACTTTTGCCTTCGAGATGAAGAATTTAATCACTATGGCACAGCAAGCTACATGATATGATGCATGCATTTATTCCCCTTTCAAGTACCACAGTGAAGGAGGGGTGGTAACGGAGGGTAGCCCAGATGATGCTATGCCCATAGTGAGCATGTGAGGAACACAGCTTCAGGAATCAACTGCTTTTATATTAAGTGGTAAGCAAGTCTGCTGTTTGTCCTGGAAAAAAAAAAGCATTATTAACTCACCTTTTGAATCTGCTTTAAGTAACACAATCCTGAGAAAAAGCCCAAGTAATGAGTTGTCAAAAATCTGCATTTGTAGCATAACCAGTAAGATGTGTAGGAACTTGAAAGCCCTATGGATAGGAAAGTCTGCCAACATTTGTCAATGAAATAAGAGAAAGCAATGATTTGAATAATATTTAGAAAAGTACAAATAAAATTATTTCTATTTACAAAATGGTATATAATTCATATGGAAAATTCAATGAAAGCAAAAACAAAAAAACACCTGTTAGAGAACAAATTTAATAGTATTTTATAAAAATTAATGCACAGAAAAATGTTAAGTGTCTGCACAGATTGAGACAATACCTAGTTAGAAGATACATCAAGGAGAATACCTAATTTAAAAGAGCACTAAAAACATTAAATATCCAGGCTTAAGCAAGGTATTTCCAAGATCTATGTGAAGAAATCCTTCTAACCATCAAAAGACAGAAAAGTGAACATGAATAAGTGAAAAGGCATATCATGGTTCTAGGATATGCTGACTCAGCAGTATAGAGATGTCAAGGCTCTGTAAGTTAACTTATAAATCTCACATTAGCTTAGCAAAAATACCAGCATGTTTCTCCCAGAGCTATACTACTTGATCCTAAAGTTTACATAGAAAAATAAGTAAGAATACTTTTTTAAAAGAATAAAGGAAAAAAAAAAAAAAAGAAATGTCAGGGAGGTCCAGTCCTAGTTCCATAATATCAAAACACTAATGAGCCTTTATAACTAAAACACAACAAAATGCTGGCTCAGGAAAACATAACTGCACTGCTGCAACAGAACAGAAAATTAAAAAGATCTAATGTATATTAAACTATTATATATGGTCAAAATGGCATCTGAATCAGTGTGAGATGAGACTGTAATAAACTATTGGGGAGAGTCAGACATCTACTTTAGGAAAAACTAAAATTGCATCAATATCTCACACACTACAATAACATAAATACATATTAGAAAAGTAAATGTAAAAAATAAAATCATGAGTGTTAAAAGAAGCATAAATTTCTTTATAAACAGGAGAATGAGAAATACATTCTAAAATTCGAATTCAAGGGCAAAAAACAAAATATTGTACAAGTTTTTATGTCTAAAAATAAGCAACTGTAACATAGATTACAGCAACTGTATCATAGAAAATACAGTAACATGTCCAACATAAAGAGATGACAAGAAAAAGACAAAAAACCTGGTAGGAAAATGGAAGAATATTTGATAGAAAAGGTTCACAGAAAAAAGAAAAGACAAACGAATCTTAAAAATAAGAAAATAAACCCAAACAGGGTCTCACTATATTGCTCAGGCTGGCCTCAAACTCCCAGGCTCCAGTCATTCTCCTGCTTCAGCATCCTGAGCAGATACAACTACAGAACTCAGTTTCCCCACCAGTCAACTGCTTGGGAGTTGTAATTTCCACCATATCCATCACTGTGGTAAAAGCCTCCATAGCTCCCTCCACCAAATCCTCGGCTGCTGCTGTGGCCACCTCCACCACTGCGGCTGCTGGTCATGAGGCTGTTGCTAAAGGTGGAAGTGCTGGCACCACTGCTTTGTCTGTAGTCTCTGGCAGCAAATCCTCCACTAAATCTACTAGTCTTTGAACGTCCACGACTGCTACCCTTGTGGTGTTGTTCATAAGCCATGTTTTCTAACCAGGATGGCACTTCTTGTTTAGCTTCGGTAAGAAGATCCAACAAATCCTTAGTAATATTCATGTTCCTCTCGTTAAAGAATGAAGTGGCCAAGCCAAGGTTTCCTACACGTCCTGTACGGCCAATGCGATGTACGTATTCTTCAATATCACTTGGCAAGTCAAAATTGATAACATGTTTCACATTTGAAATGTCCAGTCCTCTTGCTGCGACTGCAGTAGCCACCAGAATGGGGCTTTTTCCAGAGCGGAACTGATGAAGGGCCTTTTCCCTATCTCGCTGAGATCGGTCTCCATGGATACTGTTACAAGCATATCCTTCACGGTATAAGAAATCTTCCAGAGAATCTGCACCCCTTTTGGTCTCCACAAACACTAAGGTCAGTGAATCCTTGCCCGTTGCGTTCAGAAGGTCAAGCAGAAACGACCGTTTGTCGGCTTCCTCCACCCAAACTACTTTTTGTGTGATGTTCTCAGAGGTGGACCCGACTCTTCCTACAGCCAAAAAGATATATTCATCCAGGAAATCACAAGCGAGGATCTGTATTTCCTTAGGAAAAGTAGCACTAAACATCATAGTGTGGCGGACACCCTTGGGAGGCATGGTATCTTGTTCCACTATCCTACGTATCTGAGGTTCGAACCCCATGTCCAGCATCCGGTCGGCTTCGTCTAACACCAAGTATTTGCAAAAGTCGAGTCCGATCTTTCCTCTTTCCATCATATCCACCAGCCGTCCGGGCGTGGCGACCAGCAAGTGGCATCCGCGTTCCAAGTTTCGGATCTGCTGGCCGATGTCAGCCCCGCCGTAAACCACGCAAGGACGCACTCTGGACCGGTACGAAAACTTCCTGGCCTCCTCATAGATCTGCACTGCCAGCTCCCTCGTGGGGGCTAAGACCAAGGAGATCGGGTACTGCTTGCGGCGCCCGAACCTTTCGTTCTCCCTCAGGGCCCGCAGCGCCTCGCCGGGGCCGTCGGCGAAAATCTGACTCAGGATGGGCAAGAGGAAGGCGGCCGTCTTCCCGGAGCCCGTCTGGGCGCAGGCCATCAGGTCTCTTTTGTCTCGGATGATAGGAATGGCGTGCTTCTGCACCGGGGTCGGGCGAGTGTAGCGCGTCAGCTCGATGTTCCCCATGATGATCTCGCCCATGTCCACGTCGCTGAAGCTTTCGATGCGCGGAGGGCAGCGGTGGCCGGTGGCCTCGACGGGAATGTCGTCGTACTTCTCGAAGTTGATGCCCGTGTTGCCGCCGGAAAAGAGCTCCTGCTCCAAGCGCTCGCTCGGCGGGAGGGGCTTGGACCAGTCTTCGTCCTCCGACCTGTCGCCCCAGCGGGGGTGGGCCCCGCCCTCGAGTCTGCCGAAGCCGCCTCTGTCCCCGCGGGCGCCGACGCCGCCATCGTAATCACTCCGCCCGCGGTCG